AGCTGATTCTATACAAACCTACCACATTGCGCTGGTCGGTTATCTGGCAGCTGGCCTTGTCCTGACCTCGTCGTCCGTCAATGCGTTGGTCTACTCGTCGAGTGCATCCCGCGAGGCTGCCGCAGCTGGATTCATCCTGCTATCGATGGTTACAGTGAGTTTTCTTTTCGCACCTCTCCGTCCTTCCCGTCTTCATCCTTGCCCCATTGATGCGACGTGGGATTCTACGCTGTGCGGATGACTGATGTAAGGCTATTTGCAGATTGTGTGGATCTTCTACTTCGGCTCAGCCCCGTCGGCGACTCCACGCGCCTACCTCGACTCCTTCGCTTTGACCAAGGAATCTCATCCTGACCGACGTACGATGAATGGCGGATACGGTGGTCGACCAGAGACTTCGGTTTCGAATGCACCTCCGCAAATGTACACCTCCGCCCAGCTCAATGGTCTGGAGAATCCATCGCCTATCGGTGGCTTCTCTGCCAGCCAGGCGCCACGCAACTCCTCGGCCGCCGCTGGAAACTTCCCACCTCCCGTCAGCAATAATGTCATGGCCCCTCCCGTACAAAAGGAAACGGAGATCGCCCAACCTACAGAATACCCGTATCGTGCGAAAGCCATCTATAGTTACGAGGCCAACCCCGATGACGCGAATGAGATTTCCTTTTCTAAGCACGAAATCCTGGAGGTTAGTGATGTGAGCGGCAGGTGGTGGCAAGCGCGGAAAGAAAGTGGCGAGACCGGCATCGCACCTAGCAACTATCTGATCCTGTTATAAGCGAAGGATCGGTCGACTGGACTGGGATCGATGAAGAAGCATATAATGTGCGCTTGAGTACGGTCCCCACGAGGGAGCTTGTCGATAGTGCCCAAAACGAGCGGAACCGGCGTTGATTTTGTATCTGACTGGGTTTTTAGAGAAGCACAAAAACACACACACACACACGGGGCTCTGGACTGGTCATGTGTTGGAGTAAAATCGGTGGCCACCAATTGGATGGATTTAGTGTTTTGTTTTTCTTGGTCGACTCTTTTTCTTGTTCTGCCCCCGAGCAATCCCCCTTCAATATTCTTGGGACTCACGACACTTGCGCGCCATGCCATTGTATTGTCGATTTTCTACTACCCATACTCTACTTCCCTCGTTACGAAGCGCATGTCCCCCCCCCCCCCAAAACATTCCCTACGGGTTATATAGTACGGAGCATATTGGCTGTGCGGATCGCCCGGGTTCCTGTTATGACCTACCTGGGGTCTGCACACTGGCTTGTAGGGCGTCGAGCCGTGTACTGACTAGACTACTTGGTTAATGTAACTCAAGTGGACGAATGAAATGCATTTGACACTTATGTTTCATTGTTTGATGTGATACGAATTGGGTGAAATCAAAAGATTTGTGCTCTGCAAGATCAAAACTTGGTGCGAATCCGGCATAAATAACTAGGCACAGTGGGAGCGTTTGCTCTTTTTATAAGCAATGCTGTCAATATCTTAATCAAATGGAACTAGACACCTGAGAAAACGGTGATACTGAAAATGTGACGACGGGCTTTCGAGCACATCTATTCCCCTCAAGTCTCTTACGTCAGATGGAATACCTAAAAGGTACGGTAACAGCTTCAATGGCTAGAGATGACGAGGGGGCATTTGGCCAAGATTCTATAGAGTTAGAGAGCTATGGATCAGCGTCCCGTGGGGTTAGTGGGGCATTTTCCACCCACTAACTTAAATGCCCCGCGTCGCAACGCGCCTTCAATAACCTCGTGTTAGTAAATACAACACCAAACGCATGCGATCTGACCTTTCAACTTGACTCACATCCTGGAACGTTCCACCGAGCGAGAATCTCGTATTGCCCGTCTGCTTGACAACCGACGCCACTCCCCCAGTTCGGACCATGCCCAATGGCCACTCATACAATCTCTACCGGTCATGTGTCAACGTACGGCGACTGCGTGTCCGCCCTCCGCAGCTCGCTCGGCTATCTCGAGTCCTCGGTCTCGACGCTCGGCACGGGCGTCGCTGACTTCCCTAGGTTGGTGCGCGTGCTGAAGAGTGTGAGAGTATGTTATCTGTCCCATCCTTTCCCCCTGACAGTATCTTCTCTTTCTACCTCGCCGACCTATAAACACCCAGTCTCTGCTTACATGTTTCGTTTAATACACCGGACAACAAGCCGAACCAATATCCGTGACGGAATGGTCACTGAAGTAGACCCAAACAGCACTACGAACTCATCCCCCACCCTACCCTCGCCGCCGCCGAGTCCTCGCTGCGGGACGAGATCGGCCCCGCCATCTCGGTGCTACTGGATCGCGCGGATGGACACATCGACCGGGTGGAGCGGCGGATTGAATCTCTGAAGGCGCGGGCCGAGCTACAGCAAGGAAGACTCTCCGAGACACCGTCATCTACTACTGGGCCGTCGGCTCATGGCAAGGGAAAGGGAAAGGGTGTTGGGGGAAGAGGAGGGGCCCCGGGAGCGGTGAAGGGTCTTGGCGGTGAGGCAAAATTGAGGGCCAAGGCTGTGAAGCAGAGACGTGAGGCGCTAGAATACAGTATTGAGAGGCTAGAGTTGGAGGTGCTGCAGAAGGAGCGGGAGTTAAGGAAGGAGGTGGGGAAGGCGTGAGCGACGGGGACAGTCGTGTGATGATAGGATGGATGTTAGGGCTCGAAAGTCCCGGTATAGCCCGACTCTGAGGAGACGCTGCTGAACAGATTGTGGTCAACTTGAGATCGGTAGCCAGAACCACTCAATAAAATGCTGCCATTGGGAGAGCGACCAGCTAAGGATAAGTGGCAGGAATCTGACGCACCGTGGAGGCTGATTGACTCGGGTCCTATAGGAAGGAGTATGCTACTGTCAACACGAAGCACTCAGTCTCTAAAAGCCCGATGGTCTAGAGGGTAACCCGGAATGAAAAGTGAATTACTATGATCAATGACAGCGAGTCAAATTGAGGCGACTACGCGAATGGGTCGATATGTCTGATTATCGGAAATGACACTGCAACATCCAGGCTCCAGGAGGCTGCGAGGCATCATTCGTATCGTTAAGTTGGCTCGACACCCACGACTGCGACCGCGGACTGCGGGCTCCATTGGCTTGCAACGGCTACTAGCTGGAAATCCTCGCTTCTTTTGTCCCTGGTGGTCATGGTTGTTGGGCGCTGGTCTAGTCCGTGACGTGCAGGAGGGAAACAGCACTGGAGGTAGAATCTGCAAGCTGGTGGCTTCAGATACTTGAGGCTAGTGTTCTTTTCTTGCATCAGTCATTATACTGTTTGAAGCCGTTATGTCGGTATTTCTCCGCGGTGTACGTAACCTAGGGCACCTCTATCCTGAAAACTCTCCCTTGAGGCGCTATTACCGATATATTGGAGGGAGCATGTAAGAACTAAGGCGACTCAACGAAAGGCCGCAATTGTAGCTAAACACCCTGACCATTGCTGATCAGGCGTCAACAGGTTGATTATCTCGGGTTAAACGAGAGCTTCAAAAGAACGAGATAGACTAGGTACTTGACTTCAAACCCGGCAGCAGAAAGCAAATCAGTATCGCTTTCAGCTATGTTCCCTGGGTTATCTTATTCCTAAATGCTATATACGTCAGGAGTGAATAGTTAGCCTCATGTCATTCCTAACCGAACATTTTCTCATTTTCAATTAGATGGTAGTTGAACAAGTGTGATCGCGTGGTTGATCCGGAATAGTCATAGTGGTCGTCATAGTCGACATTATCGTCATCATCATGATCATCACCATGGAAATCTCATGCAAGATCCATTATTCTCTGGTCATCCCCATTCTCCAAGCATATCGTCCAATGCTAAGACACGTTTCCCGACACGACGGTCCCAGAGTCTTCCGACTCAGGCACGTATGCGGGAGAGTACGCCTCGCTCACCCAGCGCGAACTCTCCTCCTTTGATTCCGCAAGCCAGTCACGACTGATATGCTTGAGTAAAGGCATGCAGACCAAGTAGATATATAAGGTCATCAGCGTAGTATCGGAGCGTCTTGGCCTCTACTGGCGGGACAGCGAGGATATTGGCGGGTATGAGGATCTTCATCTCCCCTTTACAGCGAATGCAACGATTGAGGTCCAATAAACCCGAAGTCCCCGCAGGTGCATGTCTTTTCGCCAACATAAAACCCATTCTCTGGAAGTTGGATGTCGATAACGCCGGCAAGATCGACTTGATAGAGAGCCCAAAGCGCACCGGCGTCTTTCTTCACGTGCCAGAAGCATTTTACGGCGTCAGAGTCTTCGAGAATGAAGCTGAGAGACCTCCGGTCTTTCGATTTCGCGCCGAAGGATGAGTTCCCAAGAGATAAAACGTCAACCAGTCTTACTACTCCCTGCCGCCGTCTAAGTTGGCAGCGACAACCGGGCCTGGTACACTTTCAGAGCATAGCAAAGAACGATGTCCCGACACTACCGAGCGACGCCCTTTTCAGATGATCTCAGGTAGTGTGTTGTCAATATCGACGAGGCACACGCACGCGGCGTAGACTTGGAGCTGCCAGCTAGAGCTCATGGAGCGCTGACGCTTGCGTTAACGCACACCAAAGACTCCACTATGCAAGGTGAGTGATGCGCCGCCTTCGTCTCCGCCTCAATTCATTCCTCATTTTTCTCGCTACCAAAAGCAGCTTCGAAGATGACATTGACCCTCCTAAACACTAAACACTGTCCGTAGCGGCAATGCGCCTCCGTCGATTACCCAGTCCGTGGCCTTCTTCGCGCCGCCCGACGCCGACCCGAGTATCAAGGACTTCTGCCGCCCTGCCGTTAAAGAAAGACCTGGCTCCTCACACGTTGTATCATGGCTCCTCGGGTGATCAATTGAACGACCTTCGAGATGCACGTTTTATGTACGGACTGAATTGCAATGCGTTTTCTGATGCGCGACTCAGGGATTTCGCGTAAGCGGATTCATAGAGAGGCGGTTGGTGGAATTATATCTATTGGTGAATAGCTAATAATCCACCAGCAATGGCAAGATGGCCGAGTGGTTAAGGCGGATGACTCAAGCCCCTGCTTGTCTTGTAAGCAATTCAAGATTTATTCATCTGGGGCAACCCACCGGGGTTCGACTCCCCGTCTTGTCAATTATTTTTTTGTCATTTTCAGCATTTCACTAGGTCGGTAACGGGTCGGGTTCATTCTTTTTACATCGGTTGGTCCATTACCTGTATTTTGTAATATCTTCGCTTTCGTTTCTCGGTTACGCCGAAGACAAATCCCTGCACGGCCCTTGAATGTTCGGGCGAACCCGCCTTTCCATTGCTTTCCTTCCCCAAGGAATAACGTTAACGTCTTCAGACAAGTCGTCGATAGCGCTATCGTAAGTAGGTAATTTGATCGCAAGATGCCTGTGAACCCAAGACCTTTTACTCAGGTCGGAGCCATACAACCTTGATCCTCTAATTCTTACAAGAGTGGAGATAGACCTTAGCGCTTCGTGATCTTGATGCATTGGAGCGAGTCTAGAAATTAGCATCTCGACGGAAGTTTAGGAATGCGATTGAAGAGGCGTCTCATACCGGTGCGGGAACGCTTGTCGACATAAGCCGGGTGATTAAACCCTTTTATCTCGAGAGGAAGTTTAATCGGATCCTTGAGCACATCCCGGATAGTGTTATACGGATGCGGACCACGAAGCAGGAAAACGCGTAAATTGGCATATCTTCAGCAGTATATGTGGTATGCGATTCTGGGATATATGCACCACCCTCTTCCATAGCCCTGTCAATGAGAGAAGGTATCTTAAGTGTCGAAAACTTAATAAAGTCATGAATCCACACTGCTATATTTTGCTAATTAAACTCGGAACCTGCCAAAGGCCAAGGGAGATTACCTTTTTTGAGCACTACATTAGTATCCGGATGTGCAAGGCGGTCCAGACGATTATACGACGGGTCGGAATACGGGCCGGCTGCGGCAGTGCTCAGGTTTGTGACCCTTTCGCTGACACTAGTGGCAAGGTTGAAGTTTTAGACATGCCGCGATGCTATAGCCTTTCTTCTTGCAACAATGGCATCCTTTTTCAAGGGCGCAAGTTGGACAGGCCCGCGGCGTATGACCACCCCGACCGCATCCATAGCAGACTAGTGCCTCAAGGCTGAAAGATACTGAACTTCCGTAACAGATATGCTACAGCTGGAGATGGTTGTCAATCAGGGCGGGAGTTGCTCATGAACGACAAATTGGCGTCAATATTTGCCTATGTGGCGAGATCGAGCGTCATGAGGCAATACGGCGTGCGCGGAACAGGTTCCAGCCTACTCGTGTCGAAGCAGTTCGGGGAAACAATCCGGCTTGGAAATGGTGCAGTTAATGATAGTTCCCTGGTAAGCTCATCGGCATCTCTTGCTATCTACTTCACGATCATTATGTAGGAGTGGTGTACATTGACAGTGGCGACTTTATAGGGTCCCGTAGAGTGGACCCTCTAAAGCCCATCCGCTCAGACTGCGCTGTTCATCATTCCTGATGAGGCCGAGTTGCTCATTCCCACGATTCGTCTCATCACTGACAAATTAACCGTACACCTGATCGCCTACGCCGCGCCCGTCACCAAAGCTGTGGTCTCTTTGAATCGTCTCCAGTACTATAGTTTTCCACGACTGCCGATGGCCCTCTCCAGCGTGTTTGGCCATAATGTAGGTTGTCCTAGAATCAATTTCATCCGGAAGAGAATCGAAGAAGAATTTCTGGAAAGAAACGAAGGATGGTCTGTCGAAGAGATCCTGGAAACAGCCACCAGTCAGACTTAGTGCCCGCAACTCGAGATTACCAGCAGTTGCGTAACGCGCAAGAGGCGCGCCAGGCGGTATTGCGTCGGCGACCCGTCTTGGCAACATTAGAAGTCTCGAAGGCCGGTTGGGACCCATTCTGCCAGCACGTCGAGAACGCGGGTGGGCGGTCGGGACCAGGACTGACAGCCATCTAGATCTCGCTAAGCTCTCTGCTGAATGCATTCTCGCGTGCTGACTTCTAAGTAATTGAGGACTTCGGGCCGTATGATTGACCCAGCATTGCGGACAGCAGCGGATGTCGTGCTGGGCTCCGAGCATGAAGTCCATCTCCGGAGTTAGCCCATAGCTGACGGTGCCGAGTGGGGCAGCTGACGACGCAGTTCAGGGGGTGCGTACTTAAGTGCGCAATCTAATCTTATCAGCTGGGTCCCAAGTCTTACTGTAGGCCTCTGGGAAACCGACAACCTGCTTCTTTCATCAATACTTCTCGCTAATTCGAAATCGGTTCTCTAGTCGGCCGATTAGCAGTTTCGCTTCAAACTATGCGTTTTTGTACTTCGCTTGCTGGTCCCCTGGCGGCGTCGCTCGCGCTCGCAGCCGAGTTACGCCCCACCGATTTCGGGCCAAGCGAGACGCTTGCGCGCCGGCGCGGCCCGGACGTCTTCAACGCGGTGCACAACGCGATGCGGCAATGGGGCTCGTCGCTACACCACAATGGCATGTCGTTCTTCCTCGCGACTGTTCCCAAGGGTGTTTTGCTTCACCACGGAAATAGCAGTCCTGAGTCGCCATCGCAACCAGATTGGCTAGCGTACGAGATCGAACATGCTGAGAACTTTGCGCGAGGGCGGCGTGGTGGTCCCGGAGGCCCCCCGGGACATGGTGGACCGCCTGGTGATGATCGGCCAGGTGATGGCGGCCCTCCGCAGAGGGTAGTGGGCCTTAATGCGGGCGAACTTGAAGCGTTGGATGAGGAGGAGGAGGTGCATGGATATCTACATGTCTATGAGACCACAAGGCCACTTCGTTTCCTTTACACGGATGGCATGGGAGGTGGAAAGACTTCGATGGGTACGCTTGATTCGCAGGACTACCTCCTCAGGGGAAAATTACCAAACGACACGGAGAGTCAACCATGGGCAGATCGTCCACCACCGGAGTCAGCACCGGGTAGACGACCGGGAGGAGGCGGTCCCATGGATGAGCAGCAGCGGGCGCGCGACCTCTGCAAACTGTGCAAGAAGTTAGATCTCCAAGGCGTCGTCCGAATGGAAGCCGGATTCGAAATCATCAAATGTGATTTCTCTGACGGGTTGAAAGAGGTGCAGGCGCTGCAGAGGCCAGAAGGTAATTCTATACCTAGAGGGATGGGTAACATGGAGTTCCTAAGGGGACTGTCGGAACGCTATCAGGGCATTGGAGCGACGCGAACCATTATCGACTATTCGTCTATGGTTTCCGCTTTCTTCTTCCCGGTTAATCTGACTAATTCAGACCCGAAACGTCAGGATTTACCTCGGCTGTCATCTGCCGACACAAGCGGTCTGAAGGGTATCAAGAGCTACCTCGAGGGTGTCATCAGAGAAAGACGCGATCACGAGATACAGACGATCAACTGGCAGGACGTGTCTGACCTGATAGTTGGACGCTATGCAGACAGGCTCAAGTACATGGCTGAGGAAGTTAACACCATCGAACTCATGTCGCGAGAGGTCAACTTCTTGATTACTCTGTTTGTCGATGGATCGGGGGCCGACGCTGAAGTGGACCACTCCATCAACCGCTGTGCTAGCTTCTACCTTCAATCCGTCACACCATTCACCAAGGCAGACCATCTTATCAAGGCAGCTTTCGAGACTGTCACTCACGAGATATGCAACACTCTCTTCAAGGTTCACAGTCTTGTTGTCTCCGACCCAGCGCCCGACAGGTCATCTCTGGCGGCTTCTGTCAGCGCATTGAGGGATCTGATGCGGACCTTGAATTGGACACGGTTCAAGCGATGCCCGCCTTGTAGTATCAATGAAGTATGTGTTATACCTATGTGGCCAATGGGGACAGTAGCAATGTATAATAGTCCTCGGTGCTCGAATGGGTCGGAAACCGGAGAGGGTGAGAGGTACTGGGACGGTGGGCCTGGAGGCCGGAGGCCCGGCGGTGGGGAAAGACCGCCTCCACCGAAAATTGGGGAGTTGTAGGGAAGTTGTTAGATAAGCAGTTCATTCTCAAACTTTGTGTTTCTAAGGCCTCTCTATATCAAACATCGTATCGTAGGTTAGGGGGACCTGATCCTCTTAAGATTGTAACCTGAGCCTGTCTTTTCTTCTGCTGTCGACTTCGAACGGATGGTTTCTTGACCGCTTACTCGACTGTAGCACTGATCATACCCGGAAAGCGTAACAATGCGATTAATAGAATGAGTAACTTAGTCCAGTAATCGGCGCGCTGCCCGGGACCAATATGGCTTGGTGGCATTTAAGATCACGTCATTGCGACCACTTCGCACGCAACGCAACGCCTCAACTGAACATACCTGCTGTCAACTATCTAAGTCTTGATAAACTCAAAACACGAGATATATAACTATCTGGAAAGTCATTCCAGACTGGTGACGCCTAGAAAGTTGGACATGTGTATGTATGCACTACAGCGAGGATAATATTGAAGCATGCCATCCGCAATCGAGCCTCCGAGGCCATTTCCAGTCTATTTTATTGGCCACGCTGGTGTGAATCTTCTCTTCGACGAATCGGCTAGGAACAAGACAGTCCAAGATAACCTACGAGCTATCGGTGAAGAGATCTTGTCTATCTCTCCTCGACCCAAAGCCATTGTTGTGTTCAGTGGGCATTTTGAGGCCGGGGAGATACACGGCCTTAGGGCTATAGAAGGTGCATAATTCCAGAAGCTGGATCAGAGTTAGCAGAGACACATTGCGCACTAACACGCTTTACTCGACGTAGTAAACGTCAAGAAACAAACCCACATCCGGGTAAGTCTTTCATTGGATCGAAGTGCCAAAGCTGGCTCTGAAGGAAGATAGCACGACTTTGTGAACGACTTTCACGACACCAAACCCTTCGTTTACGAATATGACTGGCCGCATAAAGATGCACCTGAACTCGCAACCAGCGCATGGAAGCACCTGTGTCAGTCGGGCATCAAGGCCAAACGGGTTGAGCGCGGATTGGACCATGGAGTCGTAAGTAATTTCTGGGGTTATTTTTTACCCCTTCTGGCTAGATTTGGAGGCAAATAATGCCTGACAAGAATGGAAGCTCCCGACTGTTCGCCAAACTTGGCTTTTAGAGTTAATACTGACCCCAGATGTTGCAGTGGGTACCTTTCAA